GTTTAATACGCACCGCGCGAAAAGCATCATTTTTTTTGAAAATTTATTTTATATCAAAAATTAACATTTGTTTAATTAAAATGTAAATTGGTATAAATGTAATTGGGAGACGTATGGGATTTAATACGCAGCGCGCGCGAAGCGCGCGCCTGTTATGTATGCACTAGTCTTTTATAAATTAGAAAAGTTACTCTTCATTTTTTTCTAAATTTAAAATAAAATTATCTGTATTACATTTTTTTAAAAACTAATATTTTATTAAAGTTGTTAGAGTGCCCCTTCTAGCAAGTTGACGTAAATGTTCTATATCTGACAAAAATAAATAAAAAAAAGTTTTATTAAAGAATAATATTTATTTTTATAACAATTTTATTTTATTAGTTTTTCTTTGGTTTTATATACTTATGATCAAGGCTGTATTTTAATTGTATAAGTTTCTTTTGTACAATAATACGTGAGAACTAAAATTTCGTTTTTGTACTTCTCTTTTTTAACTATACAGAATAAATAATGATAAAAATGGTATTCAAATAAAATAAGAAAATAGAAAAAAGGAACAGAGATTCTTGTAATTGAGTTTAAAAGAAAATAAAATATTATATCATTTACTTACCATTCTGTGTTTACTAAAGGCGTTGTCTGAAAATCGTATTCATCAACGTATTCGTTTATCATTTCGCGGATTTGCTTGAAGTATGTGTTTCTATTCAAATCTTGGTACAATCTTGGTTCTAAATTTTGGATGCGCTTGAGTAAATGATTGTACATTCTGGCATAGTACGTTTTGCTGACAATACTTTCCATGGAGGACAGTGTCCTCAGCAGAATACAGCGGATCGTTTTGTGTTTGTCGCACGTCATCTTCCTTGTTACGCTTTCACAGTAATTTACGATTGAGTACAGCAAAAGTATAAATGTGTCCTTATAAAATGTCTCTGCATATACCAAAACGATCAGCATCGCCTCAGCGGTGATGCGCATTACGTTCTCGTATGCCATCCTCTGGTTGGTCCAACCGAGGTGGTACCAAAATCTAAACGTCAAATCCATCATGTACATTTTGTACTCCCCCGCAAAGGAATGCAATATCATGTGACGTATAAAAGCCTCTCGATTGAGATCGAAGGATTGCATGTAACTGCGCAACTTGGGATGGCATCGCGGATTCGTGCGCAAACGTTCATTCAGACTTAAGCAACGTGTCTCGTATTCCTGGATTATTTCCAGCGTACGCTTTCCAGGATGTAATTTTCTTATATCGAGCGGCTGTACACATGTATCGACTGCGTATAGGTCATTGTTCTGCTTCTCTGTCAATACATTCAATTGCAGATTGCTTATTATATCATTTATAACTTCAACTCGCTGGTACAGAATATATTTTGAAATTGTGTTGCATCCTCTTAGCAGTGATGTCATCTTGACCAATATTGTTACTAGCAATGCGGACTTAATATTACACGTGTAGAGTTGTCTTCTCAAGATACTTTGTATGTGTGATAAGATTACATCGGTATATACATTTCTCCTCTCAAGATTCATCCCCTGGCTACAATTGATCAGATAATCGATGTAGATTTCGTTTATTACATCATTCGCATTCATCATCTGTAAAGAAATTTAGAAACAAAATATTAAAATGAAATTTTAACAAAATACAAATTGAGATGAAGAGATGAGCAATTACTATTATAATACATGTGTTTCAATCAGTGTCCGAGAAAGATGATCCACGAGTGCTGAGACTCCATGTATAAATTTATAAATAAACTATAGGATAACATGTATAAATGTATACGAATCGGTCTATATCTATATATGTTTAAACATATATAAGGAATTTATGTAAATTATATATAAGAGTCAGATGGCTTCTTATAAAATTATATATAAATATATATAATTTTGAATTATACATAATTTTATATAGTTATGATGTATAATAGATAATTTTTTTAGGTAATTATAAATAACAGAAACATTTTAGAAAATCGTGATCATTCTAAAAATTTTTAAAAAAGCGCGTTATATAAAAAAAAATGTATATAATGCGTGTTTTTTTAATTTCCAAGATATCGAAACTTTATGTCTGTGAATAATTTTCTCGTGAGACTCACTTTTTCGAAAATTTACTACTGGTTTGTCTTAAATTAGCTCGTCTCGGATACGTAAATAAAAAAAATTACTGTAGAATTTATATATTTTAACACGAATAAAGTAATATATACAGAATTTTATCTAAACAATGAATCCGATAAAAATTTATTCTCATAATGTCTACTTTATGACTTTAGAACATTATATGATTACCTGATGGTGCAGCACATTATCCATGAAACGTATAAACCGTGTATTCTCTCTTATCACTCCTTGTTGAAAAAGTATAATGTTCCTTAAAATAGACGTTAACACGGTTTGTATGTTACAATCCTTGTGCAAATTATAATACATTCGCAAGAAATGCGTACTGTTTTTGAACAAAACAGTATTGGGAAATGTGCTCATCTCATATATGACTAACTTGCTTAACACTTCCTTCGGGTTTAATAGAATAAAGGTTAAGAGGATACGGTAATCGTTAATACTCGACAATGTCGGAGTTAATTCACGCAATGAGGAGATGCATGAATTATGTATAAATTCATCGAAGTATTGTTCGTCGTACAGATATTCTAAACGATTATCGTCAAAATGCCGCATCACGTATTTTAATAAGAAAGTATGCATAGTCCCCACATTTAATTGATTCAATATTTTCAATATTGACGCGTACACCTCATACTTTTCTGTCTTAGTATTCAGACATCCAAATCTATAGTGAAGATATTCGAGTACAGTATAGAGATCGAAATGGCTCAACAATTTTATCCTTTGGTTGATAAAATCCAATGTAGATAGGTCCCATTCTTTATAGCGTTTACTCAGTTCTTTTATACCATGCAGTTTACCTTTGGCGATCTCATGACAGATTTCTTGAACAGTTAAGATAGATTTCTCGGATTTCCTTGGACCTATAAGTCGCTCCAAGTAAAGAAACAATTGTTCGTTCGTCACCAAATATTTATTTTGTTTCATGAATTCTCTAAGATAGTGACATTCCATGATGATAGCACGATGTAGAGAAATCATAG